TGCCAGGTCGCTTGTAGCACCATCTTAGGTTTGGTGCTCTATGGTCAGGTCTTTCCTTGTTTTGGGTGTGTAGTGTTTTGTAAGTGTGGGGGTGTGTTTGGTACTTAGTCTGGGGGCTCTCCCCCTCTCTATGTACTTTCTTTTCTATCTTAATGAAATGACTCACAGCTCTCCTGCGTAGTTCGAGAAAAAAAAATACATGCAACAATGCACAGGAATCTAAACAAGTATGTAGACATGACAAGTAGAAGGGGGCTGCAGAAATTATAGAAATATTGCAGCTCGTGCAAAACAATTGTACTATTATGAACCATTCATGTAGAATTACAATTGCTACCAGCCCACTTACATTGTCTTTTAGATAACTATCAAATGGAGTAAGCTCATTAAGTAGTGCCTCTTCTGTTCCATCGCTTGGATCTTTGCTTTTGAGGAAACCAATGAAAGTGGAAAATATTTTTGACCCACTGTAACGAAATTTATGCACAATAATTATGACGCTCATAATAATAGAACTGTGAGTATTAACAAAATAAAAAGAAAATAACAGGCTAAAGTATCAAACAACATTTCCATGTAGGATGTACCAATAAAGTCACTAATTTAATGTCGTAGATACCAACTCTGTTAATGATAAGACATATTTTGAACAACCACAATGAATGAATCACATATTCTGTTAAGGGGATATGGAAAGGAAAATATAATAGTTTGTATGCTTTTTTGAGATGATGGAGAAGTTCCAGCTTCAGTCCTCTTCATAAAAGAGGCATCAGTCCACAAATAATACAAACACACCAAAAGTTTAAATGCTTAGACCAGTTCGTCATGCATAAATGCTCAGCACGAAAATTAAACAGATAATGAGAGAGAAATTAGCACAAAATATGTGTGGATGACTCAACATTTGCAACAAGAGTGTTGAACACCCTTACAAAAGCGCAAAACAGGAGTTATTAATTAGGGCACTGGAAATATCACATACACTGAAGCCTTTTCTGGTGGAGTTGCCAAGGGTGGTTCAGGGTACTTCTCCTCTAATGTTTGTGTTATAACATCAGAATCACCAATCCATTTTTCCTCAAGCTTCACGATAGGCACTTTACCTTCTGGGTTGATTTCCAATAACCTAACGAAGCAAGACAAAAGCATGATGGTTCATGGGCTCATGGCCATGGAACTATCAAGCAGAGAAACAGCTAGTAATAATCTGAATTCAGAAAGGTTAGCCTTGTCTTGCAGATAGGTACCAATCCGGCTTATTAGCTAGATCAACTAGCTTCAGTTCATAAGGCAGATGCTTCTCCTCTATAGTCAACAAAACTCTCTGTGTGAAAGGACCTGTGGCCAACATGTGAAATTTAACTTAGACTGTCAAGTATTTCAATAATCAGAGCAAAAAAACTTGTTGCAATGCAGTTAAAAACCTTAAACTGCGGTGTTACATTCTAATATAAAGGAAACAGGATTCACACACACTTCCATTCTAGTAATATCAATGTAGCCCCACAGTACCAAAACAGATGCCAATATTAATCTTTCAAATGTCTACTTTGAAAACTCCTCACCCCACCCCTCTTCGTCTCTGTTTTAAAGGAGATGTGTGTCTCGAACCCAGGCCGTCTAAGTGAGACAATGTTCAGGTAACCGTTAATATCTACTCGTATTAATAAACTTACTATTAATAAGATAAACTGCTGATGCCTAATGTTATACTGTGAATTATGCTGGCAGTAGTTTCCCTACTTGAGCTAAGCATGTACCAGACTGCAGAGCAAGTTTTGCTATTAATAAGAAAATATAGATTAGAAAAAGATAAACCTACTCTAGTTTGTTTCTGAATGTTGTTATTCTATTTCTATCACAGAAACAGTTATTCTGTGAAAGTTAATACTCCCAGTACAAATATTTTGTTTTTCTATACAAAATGAACTCTTTTATTCTTACATTCTATCATTCCTTCCACATGGCACAAATTGACAACAAGGACTACCAATACAGCTTAAGCATACAGAAACCCAGGAATGCATCATATCCAGAGTCCAGAACCTTTTTTGTCATTAAGGCATTAAGACATTCTATAGTCCCTAGTAAAGCTTAAAGGTGGTGTAGAGCAGGAGACAGCATTTTAATTAAGCAAGAAATTTCACTCCAAAGACAACTTCAACATGTTCATCTCTTAATATACTATACTACATTAATATCAAACTTCACCAAAACACTGAAAATACAAATCACCCAACCTTCACCAAGCACTGGAAAAAAAAATCTCCAAATATAAACTCATCATAGAAGTGCACCTTTCGATTTTCCATGCATTGCTGTTGGGTAAATGATTTAGAGAGCATACACTGTTTATATTGTCATGAAGATGATGGCTAAAACAAGTGCACTAAATCAAACGCTATTTACCAAAAAAATTGGCTTGGTGCAGACTGCAGGACCAAACTATGTGCTGAAATAACTACATCCATGTCGCACACATGTCAAATGCTGCTGTTTAGCTAAAACCTACCACCACGCATTTCATGCAATCTCAGGTTATTATGTTTTATCTTCACGTGTCTTCATAAAGCACATACGGGTCACGATACCAACACGAAAATCAAATACCAATATACCATCACTCTAAACGTGAAACAAAGCTATCATTTTCATTTGCAGTTGCACTCTTAACGCAGCAAATTAAAACCTCCCCCAATTCAAATAGCTACTAAGCTACCAACGCAACCAGCATTGTTGTCAGTTCACCTTGCATTATATAGACTACATTTACCCAGCGCGCGCGCGAGAGAGAGAGGGAGAGAGAACTCACAGTCTCCGAGGCGGCCAGGGACGGTGATGGACTCCTTGGCGCAGACCTCGAGCGGCTGGGCCGAGGCGCGGGCCACATACAAGCGGCGCTGCGGCGCGGCACGGTGCAGCAGGCGGCCGCGGGAGCGGCGGAAGGTGGTGGCGAGCAGCGCCGAGGAGGGGCCAACGGTCGTGGCGGCGGCGGAGGTGCCGCGGAGGAGGACGGCCATGCCTAACTCGTCGGCGCGGGGGAGGATGCGGTTCAGTCACGACGGGAGCACGCGGCGAGCGGTTGTGGCCCGGGAGCGGAGAGGGGAGAGAGAAGCTTATCTGATGCCAGGCCGCAACCGCTCGCCATTGAGTGGAGGAGCTAAAGCAAAGAGGCCTGGACCTCCTATCCAGAGGCTTCGTGTCGCGGGCTCGCGGCCACCCTGCTTCTGGGCCGATCGACAGCCCTGCATCGCCAAGAGTTTATTTTTGAAAAAAGTTAAGGCCCCTTAACTATTGCGGTTGTCCTTTTTTTTTCCCTAAGAACTCTAAAACAGCTAACCTTCCACAACTTTTAAAACCGTTTATTTTTTTTATCTTGATTGGTTTTGATGATAATTTTACTGATGTCGCTCCACGTCAGGGGAGATAAATCAGACTAAGTCGAGAGTTCAGGAAGATAAATCGGACTACAAATATTTTATTAAAAATCCAAAAATTCACAAAAGTAGTTTTTCAAAAAAAAAATCCAAATATTTTTATATTAAAAAATAATAAAATTAAAATCCTGAAATTTGGTTTAATATTAAAAAATCATGTAAATTTTGGTATACCTCAAAAAAATTATAAAACTAGCTTTAGATTTTTTTTTTAAAAAATCATGCTCTATCTTATGGTGCCTAGTTTAAAACTATTTGAATCTTTTATATACTCATGTTGGTGCTTATTTCCCAAATGGCATATACGGTGGGTGGGTAGAAGGATTTTGTCGTGCAACTCCCCGCGTGCCGCTAGGTCCGTGCCTCGTCGTTTGGAGGCGATGACCCTGTCCTCCACACCTCATCTCCTAGGAGTATGAGTTGTCATCGTTGCCTCGCAATACGACAACCTTAGCTGCTTCTAACTCATGAGGAGCTTTTTTTTGCAAAATGCACAACATACAGATGGCTCGAAATGTTGTGTCCGTGCAGAGAATACATGCTGGTGCACTAGACTCCATATGTCAAGGTCGCACTAGACTCCATACATCAAGGTCGTGACGTTAACCAAAGAGCAAAGTCTACTGGCGGTCCTCAAACTTGTTCGGTTGTATCATTTCGGTCCCTAAACTCGTAAATCATCAGTTGGATTCTCAAACTTGTTTAACATTATTATCACCGTCTCTAAACTTGTAAATCACCCGTTTATGCACTCGAACTTATTCAGTTATGTTATCCCGATCCCTGAACGTACAAATCATCTGTTTAGATCCTTAATCTATGTTCAGGTCTTAAAACCAGTCAGACTCGTGTCCGCATGTAAGGAAATCTCTACGGGTTCCAATGGTCGTACCACCCAATGCAAAGCCTTCAACTGCGCCACCAGCCTCAGCCATTGGTTCCGAGTCGTGAGCTCACCAGAGAAGAGAACGAGCTAAGGGGATAGAGAGGATGGAAAAGGCATATGGAGCTGGCATGTGTACCCCATATGTTAGCATACTGCGTCAGCATACGGGTAGAGTCTAGACTGACTCTAAGACCCGAACATAGATTGAAGATCTAGACAGGCAATTTACGATTTAGGGATTGTGATGACACAACTTTATAAGTTTGATGATCTAAATTAATGGGCGACTTGCAAGTTTAGTACCTGGGATGACACAACCGAATAAATTTGAGAGCATAAACGGCCGATTTACGAGTTTAGGGACCGGAATAATACAATGGAACAAGTTGGATCTAAATGGACGATTGAAGAGTTTAACAACTGGGATGACACGACAGAACAAGATTGAGGACCACCAGTGACTTTGCTCTTAGACTGCAAATATAGGAGCAAGAATATAGACAGGCTTACTATAAGTACAAACTCATCGAACAAATTTATGGTTCTTCGTTCAGTTTGATATTTATTGCCTGTACAAACACTACGCGGTATTAGATACACAAAGCTAGCTTCTGCTAGCCTGATATATACTGTGCGAATTCATCAATACGGAAGAATAATGTTAATATTTGATCTTAAGCCCGCGAAAGATCATCTCCATCGTCATTGGCGACCATGGACGGGCGGGTACCGGATGTAGGATGCATCTCCATGGCGACAAGGCCCTTCTCCTTCTGCATCTCCTGGTAACGCTCCTCCGCCTCGGGCATGTCCGCCATGATGGCCTTGAGGCGCAGGTTCATTTCGTCGAGGCGCTCGTAGACAGCGTCGTTGGTGAACATGCCCTCGCACACCTTGCAGATAGTGTCCCAACTCTCCACCAGCGGCAGGAAGATGATCACCGCCGACCCGACCGTGCCCCACGCAATCGCGATGACAGCCCACAGCGTGAAGTAGCCGGCGCTGTACCTCCCCGCCGGCAGCGACAGCACGGGCCACACCACCGCGATCACGGCCGTGAACGCCACGCCCCACTTGATGATCCACCGCTTCGCGTGCACCAGCCGCTCCTCCTTGAGCTCCTCCGCCAGGTCGCTGTCGGCGGCGACGCTCTCCACCGTGGTGATCTGCCGGCTGCTCTCCCAGTCGTAGTGCTGCGGCCACGCCAGGCTGCAGGCCGCGTGCACCGCCCCGCCCACCAGGATGGACACCAGGTTCCCCGCCAGCATCGGCGCGTTCCGGCCGGTGCTGTCCAGGTCCACGCGCCCGTACTGCACCTTGGCGACCGAGAGCCAGACGGTGACGCCGAGGACGCAGCCGGTGACGGCGCCGAGGATGGCACCTAAGGCATTGGCCTTTCTCCACAGCAGCAACAGCGCGATGGGGATGACGGCGGAGCCGATGATGACGCCCATGGCCAGGTACATCCATCCGAGGGAGACGCCCACGAGATTGAGGATGACGGCCAGGACACCCATGAGGCAACCGAAGGCGAGGATGACGGCCCTGGACACGCGGAGGATCTGCTCACCTGAGGCGTCCGGGTTGATGTACGTCCTGTAGATGTCGTAGGTGCAGAGGGAGGAGACGGCCACCAGCTCGGCCGAGCCGGCCGATGTTACAGCCATGAAGAGCATGGTGAGGAGCAGGACGGAGCCGGACTTGCCCATGAGCGCGGTGGCAGTGGCGGGCGGGACGAGCCCCTTGGCCGCCTCGGCTGCCGTGATGGGGAGGTCCAGGGCGAGCGCGCCGAGACCCAGCGAGGTGGCCAGCGAGAAGGGCACCGCGAACCATACCAGCCCACCCAGCAGGTACCCCTTGTGCGTAGACGACGGACGGGCAGCGATCGCGCTCATCCAGTAGCCCTGCACCGCGAGCATGACATTACACAAATGGAATTGATTCGTACATACCATATCCTGATTCCTGAATGTATGTAGATTAGGCTTACGTTGTCGACGAAGACGGTGCCAAAATTGCCGACGATGTTGATGATGCCGAAGACGAGGCCTCCGGAGCTGAGCATGGTGAGGTAGGAGCCCTTGAAGTTGCCGTGCACGGGGCCGCATGCCTGGTCCGAGTGCGAGAGCGGGGCGGAGCAGTCCCGCGCCGCGCTAGCCACGGCGGTGAGGTGGTGGTGCACCACCCGGGGGCTGCCGAGCCGGTGGCTGGAGGTGTAGACGAGGAAGACGAAGACGACGAGCACGACGTGCACGACGACGGAGTGGATGTAGCTGGCGAGGAACGTGGCCTTGAGCCCGCCCGCGAGCGTGTACACGACGACGCCGAGCGGGATGAGGAAGCTGGCAGCGTAGACGTTGATGCCCGTAAGCGCGTTCGCCACGGCGGAGCCGCCGAGCAGCAGCATGGCCGTGACGATGACGTTGGTCATGAGGCAGAACACCAGGAACACAGCGTGCGCCGCTCCGCCCCACCGCGCGCGAACAATCTCGCAGACGGTGTGCGCATTGGGCGCTTTGCGCTTGATCTCGATGGCCATGACTCCGAACAGGAGCACCTGGATGGTGGCGCCGCTAGCGTACCAGAAAGGGCCGCTCACGCCGTACTGCCACGCCACGTTCGAGCTCTGCAGGATTGTTGCCGCCCATGTCCACTGCTCGATTGGATGCGTGATCGGTTGATCCATTCCATACATTCATTAGCTAATTCCAACTGCTAGTATATATGAGATTGAAACTGAAGACAGACAAATCAAGGTAAATGAGCAAGTGTCAGTAAAGTGAGTATGTACCTGGGAGACGATGACGCTGGCGATGAGGCCGGTCTTGACACTCCGTCCAGCCGTGTTGAACCACTCCGAGGTGTGCTGTGATCCCACATACCGCTTCTCTAGCCACACCTGCAGGAGCACTGGGTTATAATCCGAAAAAAATTAGGTGAGGACCGTCCCTACCAGGAAGTGATATTTGACCAATATGTGGAGCACTAGCTAGCATGCCACTCGTATATGGATTATTTTTCCTTCGAATTCAAATAATTTAGGATCTTCTTTTCTTTCCCCTTATTTCTATAACAAATGGGGCCCTGGATGGAACACATTAATTAGAAAAGAAAGACACACTCACAGATTCTTCTGCGATGTTGAGGGCCTGTTTGGATGAGTTTTGGATTCTTAAAAACTAGTTTTTGCCTCTAGTTTCTAAAATCTGTATTCTGAGCAAAAACTGATGGGGTGTTTGGATCCCCCAGTTTTTAAGAATCTGGCTTCATTTATTGCTCACAGGATCACAAAAACTAGCAAAAGGTAGGTACCAATAGCTTCTTAATTTTTAAAAATATGACAAAACTGACACAAGAAACTAGGCAAAAACTAGTCTATTTGGATCATACCCAGTTTTCAAAAACCAGATTCTTAAAAACTGGTGGATCCAAACAGGGCCTGAACCTCATCTTAGAAATTCTACAAATTCATATGGAAAAAAACTCTCCCATAAGAATCTAATGAGTTTCAAAGGATCGATCCTTTGTCCAAAGTCAAATCGGCTCTTAAAACTTCATGAGTGACCGTTTGCGGTCTGGGACAATATGAAACATATTGGTCATTCTTCTAGAATACTACTATTAACATTTTACCATGATCAAATATTTGTCTTATAAAGCAAGTATAAAAAGGTGTACAAGTACTGATGCCATACGAGTTAGAGTAGCGTGTCCAAACAAGATGCAGAGTTTGATCCTGAAACAAAGTCTCGCAAAAAAATAATCCTCAAACAAATTGGATTATGAATGTTTTCATGGTCCGCCACTCTTGTGCCCGTACGAGTTAGCAGGCATGATGCAAAGTCTGATTGCAAAACGAATTGAAATGCATGACACAGCCATTAAATGAATCTCCAAGTCTCTCATACCTGTACGATCGAGTAGCGTACATCTACGCATATCGCATAGGACTAAGTTCAGTTGTAAGATATATTAGAATGCAAGACATGATCGTTAAATAATTAAGCCTCTAGTCATCTATATAATCGAGCAAAGTTTTTAAATTCCGTTGTAAGATAAATTAGAATGCATGACATGATCGTTAAAATCTTTAAGCCGCTAGTCATCATCAATATAATTGAGCAAAGTTGTAAGTTCCATTGTGATGTACGGACATATTTGCTATTATATCAAAAGTACTAGTTACACAAATAAAAGGAAAGGAATTCCGTGCGCCAATTATATTTTGTCTGTAACCCTCGAAAGGGACACGCGACAAGGACAAACGCATTTTCTGTACGATAGTTTAGCTTTCGTTCTCACAAAGTCAAACTTTGATTAAATCTCTTAAGCATAGTTGGTGCATGGTGCTTATGCATATATCATATCACAGTGACTGTTGCGGAAAGAAAAACCAACTTGACTTAAGAAAACGAAAAATAATCCAAAGTCAAATCGGGCGCACATGCAACTTGGCGTGTTATTCAATTCCACACAGGCATGATCCTGCCCATATTTGGTAAAACGGAATCAGGCCACACAGAATCATTCTATTTCTTGCGATGCGAGTCGTCAACTGTTCGTTTTCTAAGCTCAAACTGCAAAGACGCCTTATATTAGTAGTGTATTACAGTTGGTTTCATGCATACATGAATCTTCATTGCATTTCCGACAATTTAGAATTTTTCGTGCAAATTTATGCTCTCATTGACAGTTTTATTTTTTAAAAAAAAAAAAAGTTACCACCACACCAATCATGCAAGCTAGCAATGGTCGTAAGGTCGTTGTGTGTGCAAATGCGATGCGCACGCCAAACAGCACTAGAGAAAAATCATCAAGCGAGGGAGTCACGCACGCGATCGAGACACTCATCAGTGGGGACGGACAAAGTGAATTACCAGGAAGGAGGTGAAGACCGCGAAGAAGGCGCCGAAGCCGAGGACGACGGCGTACCCGACGGCCTGCGCCAGCACCGGCTTCCCGCCAAAGAAGCTGCCGTCGCGGCTGCAGACGCCGTCCACCACCGAGTAGTACTCCCCGCCGAACCCCAGCCCCAGCGGAGGGCACGCCCGGCGCCGGCGTCGCCAGCGGCCATCGTCGATCTGTGGTGTGTGGGAATGAACACATAGCTACGAAACTGGCGAGAACGAACAGGCCGCAGTTCGAGGGTAAGGTACCTCGATCAGGTCCGCCCGCGGCGAGGAGATCGGCGGCGGAGACTCCAAACGAAGCAGACAACGGACGGACCGTCCGTCGTATATAAGGGACACAAAAGCCCGCGGGATCGATCGCTGTCGCGACTTCTCGCCAACAGATCCAATTGCGGGAATCTTTGACTTTAGGTACTGTACTAGAAAACTTAGGGCGTGGCATTGCCACGCCATTTTTGAGTTGGCCAGTGGTGTTTTTACTATTATGGATAAATATAAGTGCAGAGATGCTGAAAAGTAATCTTTATGTTATCCAGCTATAGTTCTTGTAGTTTGATAAATGCATTTTAGCAATAGGATATTTTATTGTATCTCAATGCTCGGAAAAAAAATGGAGATGATGAAATCATATCTCAGAAATTCATCAATTGTAGATTTTCTAGAAGCATATTTCAACATAAGAATACATGGTAAAACGATAGAAATAAGGGATATCCGAGGTCTGCAATCTTGGGCTTGCAAAGATGGCTTTATTCAGAGCATTTGTAGCACAAGCTATTCTTGAACTACACTTCTAGGTAAATGATCTATTCTTCTGATGCTTGCACAGCAGCTATGACCATCTCTTTGGACTTCAGTCTCTTCCTCATCAAGAATCAATCCGTGGAAAAAAGTATGCAGCACCCTGGAAAGAGGGAAAACAAAAACAAAATTACAATATTTAAAACATTTGTGCTCTGCCCAGGAAATTAATTAAGTGGCTTATCAATGATTCTAACCTTAAAAAAATGGTAAATTCTAAAAAGGATGTATCCACTTAAATAACATCGGAGGAAAAAAATCGCACTTAAATAATTTCGTTTCTAACTGATTTGACATTCCAATTTCTGACGGTATGGGCCCAACTAATCTGTGATGTTTAAGAATCCTGAATGAAGGAGTAGTTGGTTGGTTTTGCTAATTTGATACGAAAAACGATGTTTAGCGGAACCAGTTAGCATGTCCATCTAATAAATCTGATACTGTTGAAAAAGGGACATTAGATCGATGATGGATTGCCATGATTTTTTCTATCTCTGCAATAATCTGCATATGAGAAATGAGTATACTATAGAGAGTACTATGTAGAAGATGGATTTGAATTATTATATCATTCACAGAAAAGATAAGAGCTTTTGTGCAAGGCTAGGTGTTTAATTATGTAGATGGTCTGACCGTCAGCTCTTGCCTGCAAAATGGAACATTCAGGTAAACATACACAATATAAGTTAAAATATATAATAAAATATACTTGTTCATGGGCTCAAATCAGGGAGTCAGTCCTTTGGATAAGTATAAATCAGAATAGAGAGTCATAGCTGATCATAATTTGACGAAAACTTTGGAACTAAGGACAGTAGATATACTAAAATTAACTACAAAAGTAATTAGGGGAAGCACACGGTGTATATCTAATTAGTCCATACATGGCAGTTAACTTAATGTGGAGGGTTCTTTGTCATGTCAGGAACATGGAATCCTTTGATCATGCGGTAGGAAAGCTGGAGAAATTGGATGCACCAAACCTTACAGATTTCAGATAACGTATAAATGATAAGAAAACTAAAAGTAGTGCTCCTTAGCTGTCCAATCCATTGCTTATTGCCCAAAGCCACATGCTCTCATCTGCACAGGAGGGCGCAAATAGTGTCCACTTGAAACTTAGGATCAGTGGAATTAAAGTATACATCACAATATTGAGGAGGGAAAAGGACTCAACAGGATTTTTAACCTTTGCTCGATCAGCCCATCTGTGATGGTAAAATTACTATTATCCCTGCATTAAGAGGAACATAAGCAGTTAGGATATAGCAGGGAAGAAATTGCATAATTGTATCAAATAGAGATTTTGAATTAGCACTACAACATATATGTGGAAGTTTAAATTGTGATTCAGATTTCCAATACGGTTCAGATGATGACAAATAGCCGGCAGCCGCTGAACTAACTTTATCGCTTATCAAACTTCTACGCACCAAGCTTACATAATTAGATAAACCTACTATAGTACTTGTTAAATATCCAATCCATGTATATAGTCCATAGGTACATGCTATCATCTGCCCAGCAAGGTGCAAATACCATTCATCGGAAATAAAAAATTAGTGGTTTTAACATATACATTACATCATCTTCAGTTCTTCACTTTAGCTCCGGGTTGAAAGGACATTTGCACAAACTTGAGAACTGAGCATTGTCTATTGGTGATGAACGCAGTTTTACAAATAAAATAGGATGAACACATGCACATTTCATCAAACACCACAGCTTGACTACAAGCTGCAGTGACAGTAAGCAGAAAAGGGGAGCAAGAATATCGAACCAGTAACAGGAACCTCCCCGTTGCTTTTGCACACCAGCAGGGATCGACGAGGAGGATGGAGAGCTACACCCATGTTACGCTGCGCTCGGCTCGCCGGCACCGCCTCGTCGGTGGTCCAACGCCCACGCCGTGCTGATTCTTGCTCGGTTCACCGCGCCGCCTCGTTGGCTTAGGTGGCGCCCGCGCTTGTCGTCCGCGGTGGTGGCCGCGCCCGCTGCCCCGGGGACCATGCACACCTGTGGTGCGCTGCGCAGGTGGCCGCTCGTGCTCAGGCCGTCGCCGCACGTCGCGGCCACGCCACCGAACAGCTCGGCCGAGAGGTCGAGGTGGCAGGGCGATTCGGCCACCGGCGCGTTTAGATCACCCACGGCGCGTGCGCGGCCGGACCCGGGAGCACGCGACTCCAGCGGCCCAAGCTCGGTGGGCCCTCGGCGGGCGGCCATGGCGCGGCTGCTCCCGGCGCGGGCGGCGCGTGCGCGGCCGTCCCCCGAGCACGCGACTCCGGCGGCGCGAGCTTGATGGGACCTCGGCGCAGCGCGGCTCCACGAGCAGCTGCTCCCCCGGCGCGGCGCCCATCAGCCATCAGTTCGTGGGGCTGCGCCGCTGCAAAAGATTCGCAACGACGACTAAGCGGGTAGCATACCCGAACCAACCCGCATTGAACGGTCCAGATCTTAGCAGCCCAATCCAACGCAACGTGGCCTCTAGCCTCTTTTGGGTGCATTATTGATATTCTTTGTTGTTTATGAATCTCTGCGGTCCATATGTTTTTCGCTCAAAAAGATGGAGTGTCCTATTAAGAAAGGTAGGGCTCATGAAAGCTGCAGCTTCCGGTTGTTTTGTTCAAAAGCGTTAAAGGATAGGCGGCGCGATATGTCATGACGTAAGCTAAATCTATTTGTTCCGCTGCCCGCTCCTCTCTCTCCCGGCCACGCTGACATTATTTGAAGTTCATTATTTATTGATGCCATCCGTAGAGTGAGTTGGGGAGGAGCGTAATCGTATTTAGAACCACACACACTCAACCACTTCAAACATCGTACCGAGACCACGTCCTAGGATCACCGAAATCCACTCACGCTCAGGATCCCAGGGGTGAGGCATCGATCGGATCGAACTGGTGGGCTGCTCGCACGCAAGCTTCTCTTCGGTCCTCGGGAGGAGCCGGATTTGGGTGTTGACGAGCCTATCTTCGCGGACGTGTCGCTCTTGCGCCTTGCGCGTCCTGGCGTGGGGGCAGCCCGATAGGCTCCGTGCATTCGCCAGAGTGTTGATCACCTGCGCCGCACAGCCCACCGGGATGCGCTCTTTCCTTTATTGGGCTGTCGAGGTTAGGCCTTCAACGGGCTGTTGCAAATTTTCAACTCACGAGAGTCCTACACAGGATTCTTGCAGCCCAAAAGCAACGGCCTCTCCTCTTTATTATTGATATTCTTTTTTATGAATCTCTGGGTCCATATGTACCATCCCTAAAGAAAGGATGAACGCTGCAGCTAAACCAAAAGCATTAAAGATATGTCATGACGTAAGCTAAATCTATGTGCCTGCTTTATTTGAAGTTCATTATTTATTGATGTATATAGTGACGTAATCGTATTTAGAACCCTCAAGAATTCAACATCGTGCCGAGCTCGGGTAGGCCTTCAGTATCATGTGGGTCTGGCATCAACTGGTGCACGTAAACTTCTCTTTAAGTACGACTCCATCACAGATGTCCTCAAAGCAAACACCAAAATCAAGCGAGATATCTCACTCCATGCTTGTCCTACCCTAAATGCATCCTAAATTTTTTTTTTATCTTGGATGGGAGACTTTTGTAACAAAACAAAGATCTTATCAGCTCTTTCTTTGATTACTGCAGTGTTCGGCATTGTCCGAGAAATCGGAAAGTAGCTGATTACCTAGCAATGCATGGAGCGAGCGCGGTTAACTCTAGCTCGACTGTCTTCACGAGCCAGTTCCTACCTTTGTAACCAGCCTAGTCACCGACGATTTGCATGGAGATGGTACCTAATGGAAACAAGCTTTACCGGTTTAAAAAACCAAAACCTATCAGTTCGAGGCACCGTCGCCGGTGTTGACCAGCCACGGGCCACGGCCACAGGCAAACGGGGCCCACATAAATAGACGCAGGAACTCGAGGAAAACGCCACTGCACCCAATGACATCGCTGGCCCAGCGGGCCCGCGTGTCGGTGGAGAGCGCACCACGAAGGCAAGTAGGCAACAAGCCGGCGGTTAATCGCCCCCGCCCCAGTGGGCCGTGCGCCCGCCAGCCGGAAACCGCCTCCACATTAAAAGCGCTGGCGCGACGCGACGAGCCCGCTCTCGGCTCTCCACCACAACACACCCCGGACACCACCGCACCCGATCGTCATGGACGCTGCCGGCGGAGGCGCCGCCGTGGTAGTGGGCGGCCTCGACGACGCGGACGCCGCCTTCTTCTCCCGCCGCGGGCACCGCTGCTGCGGCTGCTTCTGGGCGGCGCCGCCGTGGGCCTCGTCGTCGTCCCCGCAAGCGCGGCGCGGGAGCGGGGGCGGGGGCGGGGGCGCCGACGAGGAGTGGTGGCACGGCGTCGGGGAAGAAGGGGGAAGCGGAGCAGCGTCAGGCAGGAGGCGTCGGTGGTTGCGGCGCGGGGTGGACGCGCTGATGAAGGTGCGGGAGTGGTCGGAGCTGGTGGCCGGCCCGCGGTGGAAGACCTTCATCCGCCGGTTCCGTTTCCGCCGCAGCAGCGGCCCGCGCCACGGGGCCAACAACGGCGGCGGGGGCGGCAAACTCAACTACGACCCGCTCAGCTACGCGCTCAACTTCGACGACGGACACGGAGCAGGCGGCTGCGGCAGCCCCGGCGAGGGCGGCGACTACCGCGACTTCTCCGCGCGCTTCGTCGCGCTCGCGCCGCCGCCTGGGTCGTCGGCCAGGTCGTCCATGGACCTCGGCGGCCGCGACGCGCACACGCCGCCACTGTTCCTCCACCACCACCCGCACTCCCCACGCCCGCCTGCTACGGCCGCCGCGAGGGGATGATGACCTCCCGCTGACGTCGACTCAGCGGTCGCGCCGGCGTAACCGTCGGCTGGGTGTTTTGTAATTAATGGGGCGGCGGTGGAGGCGATAAGGCAGGGGAGGAGAGGAGGCCGTCGCTTTCGTGTTTCGTCTCCCTCGCCGCCCGGTTCTTCTTGCTTTTCCCTTGTGGATGGTGTCGATAGGGAGATCCTTATTTATTTTCAATTTATTTTGTCTTTTTGCATGTAATTTTTGTAAAATATAGAATGCTATTATGATCCTATATCGTCCAAAGTTGTCATTATAGATAGCCATGGAAAATGATCATTCTTGGAGGAACAGAGGAGAGACAAGCACACTCATTTGTTTGTTATCGTCTGTTCTTGACAACTTGAACGATATGACGATATCGATATGTCATCACACCGCAGTGGTGCGTCAGTTTTGCTGTCGTGGTATGCTTTTGTAAATGCCAGTTTTTATGCCCCACCTGCATCTGAAAGGCCCCTTTGAACCTTTGCTGAACAATGCCAGAATTGACCCGTTTCATGCAAAGCAAAATTCCACTGCATTTGGCCATTTTCTATGTTCTAAGCAGTGAGGCTACAGCTGGGGCGGAGTAGGCGAGTAGCCGCTCCCTGCCTCTGGTAACAGTACCACTGGTGAATCTGGGCATCGGCGCGGCCGACACGGTTCGTGCAATCACATCTCGGATGCCAGGAGCCCATGATCTCACACGACGGTGTGAATCTCTGGATCCGATCACCGATCAGTGGTCAGGACCGACCTCTGCTAAATGCCGAACAAGTGCCGACCTCGCCGCCCGTTAGGCGAGTGGATCGCGAGTGTGTTTGGTCTAAAACAAACTCGGTAACAGTTTACATCCATGTGCGACCCCCGGATTCGGTCTTGGTCTTCGTCTCCGTCTCCGGCAGCGCCCCCCAGCGGCGATCATGGCCCAAGCTCTGTGCCAATTCCACGACGTTCTAATTCTACCATGTAGCTACTAGTAGAGACGAAACGAGCGAATGACGTGTCCACAGCTGTCTCTATCTATGCTCGACAGATCAATAGGATCGCAGAGCATAATTTCAATGATTCAGCGAACGACGCAACTGAAGAACGAATCCGAGACAGGTAATATTCGGGCTCCTGATGTTAACATCGGACCAATCTGGTCCCCTTGCTTCATTTGATGAACGAGATCATTAGAATACGTTGTCCTTTAAGTTTGAGAAGTTACCGAGATCAACATTGCAAGAATGCGTTGTCAAAAAACAAAAACATTGCAAGAATTTGGACGGTGTCTACTTCCAGCCCAGGGACGTCGCACGCCTGTTTTCTTTCTTTTTATTTTATTTAATTTATAATAAACTTAACGCTCGGACGAGAAATATATATATTTTTTAGAAATATACTTAGTTTAAACCAACAGTCGGGAGATAGTTTGCTAGCTAGTAGTATAAAATAACATCTGTTGAGGCAACAGCTTTGAGCCACCGGATGAAGATCTCACGGATCTAAATTCACACAAAGAAGACTAACAATAAATAATTCTTTCTATAGTAAGACAATTATAAAATTATGATCTAAATTGACACAAGACAATTAACAATAAAAATTCTTTATATAGTAAGACAATTACAAAATTATGATCTGAATTGACACTACAAATCTTGAAGCAAGATCAAAAGATCACGTCGTCGCCTGAACCAAAAACAGATTTCAGACGCATGCTTTTTAGGAAAAGTGCCTAGAAAAACTACCCTGGGGATTTATGCCGTTTTTCTCCGGTAGATCTACCACATCTTTTTTAATGGCAATCACTAATAAACAAGTCTAACTCTCCAAAATAGAAGGAGACGCAACTCCTCAATCCCAATTACCCGGATTTGTTATCCCCCACGTGCCAGGACATGCCACTCCCTCACTATGTCGAGCTCCCTTTGCATTGATAGATGCACTGAGGTCGCTTGTTTGAGATGCGACTCGACATGCTCTACCTGCTCCAACAAGAGGTAGACGAGATGGGGGAGTGTGGGTGTACCAACACATTGTATTGTGTGGTCTAAGGTTTTTTTTATACTGGCTAAATTTTAGACAACATTTTAGATCTCCTATTTAGAACCTCAAGAGTTTGATCTAAAGACCATGATATCCAAACAAGGTCTAAGTTCTAGCAACTCATGCTTGCTTGACCTCTCGCTGGAATGTGGAAGAGCAAGGCAGCAAAGCTCTTAATTTGCTAGAAGTCTGGAACAAATACAACGAAAAAATAATGTAATGGCTGTGTAGTGCTCGAAGGTCGGTTCCCAACACTTTATAATTGAAAAACAGAAAAGATAATCATATCCTTATCCATCAACTGGGGATTTAAAAACTCCCAAAATCATATCATCCTCGATTAGTGACTTAGTGCAAAGGCCAAAGTTGAACCCTTTTGGGCTCTGGATGTGCGGGTGCTGCAGGTTCATGGGCTAAAGGCCGAGACTACTAGGTTTGCCAAACTTGCCTTTGGTTCATGCGGCTTGCACAGTCGCGTCGAAAGCCTTGCCACGTACGGGCTACCGTCGGTTGCCATTGCGGTCTACCTGGGTCAATTTTTTTTTTTTTTGAGGTGGCTAGCCAAAATAGAGTACAAGAGGCTGTCGCCAAGTCGTCAGGGTCGTCCGACCACCATATAACGTAGCTTCGCCCATGCTTTTGGTTGCTAGAAGTGGAGAAGATGGAGGTTATCGTACGGAGAGACACCGGAGGTGGAGCACTGGAGCTGGAGTGACCTCAAGCCTGGCGAAATCTTCCGTGTCATGGTTTGCCGGTGCGTGAGACACATGACGCTTGTCGCATCATGATTCACCAATGTCATATGTCAGACAAGAGGAAAGGTCGTCTAGTGGACCAGGTAACCACGACCGAATTTTTCCGTTTTTCGGCCCTTTTTTTTTTAAAGATTTTCACAAATACACCCCTGACGGTATTCTTTCAAAAAATGGATACTGACCTCGGCGCCGTGACAATTGGCGCCGAGCTTACATGTCTCGGCGCCAATTGCTTTGACGCCGAGATCCAGGGTCATTTTCTGCGTGTCGTTGGCATGTCTGCTTGTGTGGCGCGGACGTGGCATGAGCTCGGCGCCGTGGAAAGATCTACGGTGCCGAGCTATGGAAATGGATAAATTTTAATTTTTATCATGAGCCGAGCTCTGTACTGTGTCGCCCCGCCGTACTGCAGGAGCCAAGCTCTGTACTGTGTCGCCCAGACGTGCTGTAGTTGTATCTTGGAGCTCCGAGCTCACGAGTGTCGGTTGCTGCGTGTTTTGCCCAAAGTCATTGTTGCCCATAGCTGTATGCAACTATTACCAAGCAAAAGGGAGAGAAAAAAACACGAACACTACCAAAGTAAGTACGTTAGCAAATGAATTTCTCGCTTGCATGCCAAGTCATTTCTGGGCCTGGCCATCACTTTTCTTCTTTCGACATGAAATGAAATTAATGAGAAACAGAAAATGCTTGAGATATGATGTTGTGTTGTGTTTGCATTGTTCCTCTCTAAAAATTTTCCGAGACGTGCAGAAAACCAAAGGCTACGCTGGTGTTGTTGTAGGGAAGCAACATGAAACTGGGTTCTGAAAACAGGAACGCGCGGCGGCAAGACGACAAGAGGTATCTCTGTTTCTCACACAGAAACCAGAGCCAAGAAGCTTTGTTTCTATTGCCAGGTACATTGCTCATACACATGTTCTTTTTTTCTCCTCATCCCAACAATTCCTTTCCTATTGAATTTCCTAATACAAAATAAAGTATATATATATATATATATATATATATATATATATATATATGAACACATGCATGGAAACTTCCGTATAGCAGCTGCGTACGACAGACTTTTTCTATGATCCGAACAAAGCCTGGTCTTATCGGTTTGTACAGTTGTACGTGCTCCTAGTTTACTCCAAAGTAGCGAAGTACATACATACGACAGTATTGTTAATCAGTTTGCTGGTACTTTTGTCCATACCGCAACATCCGTAGACATGCATGCATGCACTTGCTTTGCTTCTCTAGATTTAGAGCGTATATGGTCCGACAAAGTGTATGTAAATAGAGTATATCATCATACTAGACTATCTAGAATACTATGTATGACAAGTATATATGTATACTTAGAGTATATGATTATACTTATTTTATATGCTACTATCATAGTATTATATAATATATTAAAAAATCTATGCTCTTTTGAATTTTTTTTCACATAGTAAAGATCTGGAGTATCTTAACATACTCAAACTGATAAATGAGTATGTACACATACACAACGTGATTTATTGATTATGGGAGTAACTACTCCTGGAATATATAAAATGCACCATGTATATATATATATATGGTGCATTTTATATATCTCGAGTAGTTACTCCATAATTCTAAATCTAGAGATATACACATGGGAGTAACTACTCCCTAGGAGTAGGAAATAATTTCATATATATATATATATATATATATATATATATATATATATATATATTTAAATGCCCGTGCGTTGCTACGGGATAGCTAATATTTTGTACTAAAAACACATGGATCGCACGATAAAATATCAATACTGTAAAACTTAAATATCAATGTTAAAGTTACAGTTAATCCAAAAAGCAAAGTTTATGAAATTAACAGTCACGGAGAGCGTGGCGTCACAGGCTTATAAACTCTACTTTATAGACCTTTGTGTGATGCGCCTAAGATAATGTTTTATATCGACACGAAGAAATCTCCGATATCCATTTCTTTCGTGCGCCAATAAATCCACGAATAAGTTCCGTCGCATCTCCATACCATCCTGTACATAGGCTCGAGTGTATATGTCAATATTAGTGCCTGTCGTATGGGTAATACTGCGTCTCTTGAAAAATCTTCCATAAAAACTTAAAACAAAGTGTTATACTCACTGTATAAATATGTGTGTCTTTTGGTCTATTCCACGTAGACATATACTGTAGAATAAGATATCCACTTAAG